GAATTTGCACTCTTGTCCACCCACGTGCGAAATCTCTGCATGCATCGATTGCTGGAGCACCGGGTGACGTAGACCTAGGCCTCCTTGGAGCTTCGCCCCTTGGGCTAGGCGTACGCCTCTTGTCCTGGTCCCGATTGTATCTATCTCTTCGATGCGGACTTGGGGTATTGCCGGTCTTCTTTCTTTGATCACTAGGAGGCCGACTAGGCCTGTGAGAATCACCAAATGGCGACCGCCTCCTGACAGGAGGACCAGGAGCACCAGGTTTCTGGGCTCTGTCCCTGGACGGAGTTCGCTCATAAAAATCCTTGTGCATGTTGACTTGATTCCTACGAACCCTCCAGCGGTCGATCTCGTTCTTACAACGAGCGCGAAGCCACTCATAGCTACAAACATCAGGGTTGGATATGTTCCTATCCCATTCCCTGATATCATGCGCTAAACATTTGAGGTGTCTAACCTTCTCACTGAAAAGCGACCGTTTTACCTGTTCGGTCAACGGTTCATCGAGACCCGCAAGGATGTGGTCCCATTTCGCGATGAATCTGTCAAGTCGTTCCTCCTCTGCATAGAAAGTTGAAACGCTACACCGCAGGTTCGAGAGCTCAATTATTCTAAATGATTGCTCCCCGATGTTTGCAGTCCTCCAGCGGTCGTATAAGAGCCACAGGATCTGCCTACTCTTGATACGGTTGTTGGCGCGTTGAGCAGCCTCAGTGAGACGATTTATCTTGTCCATAATTGCAACAGTCTTGATGCACTTTCGAATGGCTGCATTGAACCTGGCTTCAAGAACGTGATACCTACACTCTCCATTCAATTCATCAAAGGACTTTGCCTTCTAAAAGTCCATCATAGCTGTAGGCATTGCTAACAGCTTCCTTCATATTGGCTATCCATACCCTCAATCCAGCCGCTTCGGGCTCTGACGGAAGGTCTATGGGAATGCACTTGGTCGCAGCTGTACAGTTCGGATCCTGGTGGCCACTGTATCCGCCACCACCCGTTCCGAAAAGGTGCTGTGGGACCTGCGAACTACCGATCGACATTGCACACACAGGACACAGGCGAGTAGCCTTTGGAATGCAGATGTCGCATGCCCTTTTCATGCATATCCTACAATCCTCAATTTTGCTGGGATCAGGAATATCCCGATTACACATTCGGCAATTCCTGTCGGGAGGATCAGGGCCACGCATGATTCGCGGGTCAAGGCCTGAAGGATGCTTCGGTCTTGCACCATTAGGATCGTACCCTGGATAATACCCGGCTTCACGCTTATCTAGGGCTGCAGCTGGCGCAGCCTTTGGAGCGCCCTGAGAGCCCGCCGCATTGGGCTGACCCTCAGCAGGAACATCACGGAATCTATCAACAGGCGGTCGCAGAGGCGGTGAGTATGACCGCGTAGGGTTCGTCTCAGGCGCGCCCTCAAGGGGACCTATTCCTAATCCGAGCAGCATCGGGGTCCCTTCTTCTCCTGCTTTCGTCCCTAAGGCACGCGAGACAACAGGGACCCTGGACAAATCCAAATCTCCTGTAGTCATCCTGTCCAGCTGAATGCCTAGTGCAGTAGTAGGTCTTACAAAATTGACAGTTAATTCCCTTGGTCACGAATGAACTCTCCCTACAAACACCGCATCGGGGTCCGTCACGGGAGCATTCTTCACACAGGTCCTCCTTGAACGAGAAACAATACTCACAAATCTCACCTTTGCATCCTTTACAATGAAATTCAGCAACAAGGTGGATACGTCCATCACCCATATATTTACATCTGGGTTCACCAGCGTCGCCGTCAGCACTTTTCTTCCCCCCTCCTCCCGGTCAGGAGGAGGTGGTGGTGGAGGATCGTTGTCAGGAGGGCTAGGCGGAGGTGGCCGCTTATCCAGAGTACGGGAAGTGGCACGCTTTCCTCCTGCGTGATCATTCAAGCCACTACTCGATGCTTGGCTCGAATACTTTGATTCGAGAGTGTTAATTCTCTGGGCCGTGCTGTTTAGCACGTTGAGCATCTGTTCGAGTTTGCTGTTGAGTGTAGTCGAAACAGCCATGTTATGAGTGTTCTGCTTGTCCGTGTAGGACTTGCAGTCCCTTGACTTGACCTCTAAATTGGTTTGCGTTTCGCAGAGCTGGTCCTTACCCAACACTGTTCGGCATTTTGCATCATCCTGTCAATAGGACACATCCTGGTGGATAAGTCCTCGAGTTTGAGGTTCACACCACCAATCGCAGGATGATTGGATTGACTCTCTACTAGGGACCTCTCGATCGCGTCAACACGAGTTACAAGCTCGGCTACTTGATCAGAAAGAGACTCAAAAACAGTTTGAACTTGGATGATTGAGCGAGCGACATCGTCATAGCTGGCTCGTTCATTCAGGGCATCGCCTAAGCTTGCCATACGATCGGAAACGATCTTGACTCGTTGGCCAAGCTCGGTTACGACGTCCTTGGCCCCTTGTGAGAGTTGCATGGACACGTTTGCAGCCTGTGTACACGTATTGTTCACATGGACGCATTGGTCGTACTTGGCTCTCCACAAGTTGATCTCAGTGGTTAGTTGCTTGATGCATTGATCACTTCTATCATTCCTACGCCCAAGGTCTTCGACCTTAGCAACCAGGCGATGAATGATTGCACTTACGGAAGAGTCCACTCTCCCTCTTTCAAGGGGGCTATGCCTTGATCCACGGTCCCGAGGAGTGGACAGATCAATCATGATTGGATTAGACCTCGGAGGAGTTCTGAAATCATCCTGTACGGCCGTTGACGGAGTGGGAACTCACTCCGATTAGGAGATTGACTCTGATACGGCGCAGATCTCCTAGCATCACGAACCGCCGAGGGTTGTGGCATGCCCAGGCCTTTGGCCACGGGCAATTTAGGAACGACAGGCCTATCAGTTCGCATAGGAACATCAGGTCTTGCGTCAGCAATGACAATGTCATTCAAATCGGTCGCATTGGACACTCTAGATTCAGACATCGACTCAACATCATTGGCATTACTGATGGTGTGATTGTGACTAGAACTCGATGCCATCATGGACTCAGATTCTATCGGAACATTAGTTCCGTCCATGTTGTCCAAGGCGAAAAAGGAAGCCGCATTGGGCGTAGGGGGAACATTTTGAACATTCGAGCCATTCGACCTATTAAATTCCTCCTGGAACGCTTCGATCCCATCAAGCACGTTAACTATTGTGTCCGCGTTTAGCGGGTCCCTACCAATGATCGACGCTGGATCACCTGAGCGACCACGTCCTGAGTCCCGCGTACTGGGGTTTCCCCTGTGAGCAGTTTCCCGATCCATCCCTCTTGCCCTATGCGATCCAGTCGAATTTGACCTTGATCGCTTGTCGGGGTAGGACTGGGATGCAATCCAATCTGTCTAGAATGTTTCGCTCCCTAGGGCTCTCAAATCCTGAAAGTCCTGGGGGAGGGGACATGTTCCTCATGGTCGGGTTTACCGACGGCCTTGGCCTGACGTTACGGCTTGGCCACATCAGGGTTGAGATTCTCAATCGACAAAGGCAGCATGAATTCATCGCTTCCAGCAGCCCGTTTTGGGCTTTGGAATTGCGGGAAAGATGACGGGGCGGGTGGCCCTGGCATCCATGCGGCGAAATCCATGCCAAAAATGTTTCCATCGTTGGGCCATGAGGCACTCCAATCCAGCCTACCGAGTTCGGTGGGCGTATGAAGTGCACCAGGTTCGGGATTACCGAGCGCTTGGAAAGCCATGCTACTGGCTGGCACAGGTCTACTGCTGCTTCGAGAGTCATGAACCTCGGACTGACCAATATTCATCAGCTCGGGGAAAGATGAGGATTGAGCTCCAGGTGCAATACCGGGCTCGTCATCATCACGTCCTGAGACGGAATCATCAAGGTCAGGACGATTAGTCCCACGACCCTGAGAGCGACTAGCTCTTGAGGCAGTAGACGATAGATCATCAGTGCGAGTAGCACTGGATCTCTCTGAAGGCATTGCTTCGGAAAAAGTGTGATCCGACATAAAGTCAGGACCGGAAAAAATCCGCTGTCCGGGCACCTGGCCGTCATTCACAACGTCCAAGATTCCGGCCTGGCCGAGAATCCACTCATCGGTCACCACATGAGGTCCATCCTCAGTGATTTCCGCCATGAGACCTACAGTAACCTATGGAAAACGGCGCCTGCAGGGTTGTTATTAAAAAGGGGTTCGCGGTGCCAACCGAGGACGAATCCTACGGCTGATAACCTGCGAAAGGGATTGAAATAGAGTTTCGGGATGGATAAAACAGGCCCTAACCCACCAACAAGAAGAGACCACCTTATCCCCCCGGTCCCAAGGGCAAAGCAGTTGCCCCCGGCCGGCAATAACACGAACCAAAAGGGGTGCCTCGTTGTAACAAGAAGGAACCAAGCAGAAGCGCAGCAAAGCGCAAGGCAGGCAAGCAAACCAGCAGCAAGCAGCACCAAGCGAGCAAAGCGAGCAAGCGTGCAGAAGCAAAACAAAGCGCACACCACCGAACAAACAACCGACCCACAACCAAAGGACGTGCCTACCGCCGCGAGGCTCAACCCGCCCTTTTCCGGGAACGAGGTGAGCAGCGGCGCCGCAGGCTGCCGATGACGTTATGGCGGCGTGGTTCGCCGTGGTGAAATCTTGAGCCAAATGCCGCGTTGGGCAATGGCGTACTACAAACTGCTATGATAAAAGTACATGCCCCCAAAAACAAATTTGAAGGATTCCGCTGTCAGTGCTTGCATGATTGCAACACTGGCCTGCACTGGCTAAACCAGAGTGGATTGATCAGCTTTGCTTGACGTCACCCAGGAAAGACTGAACAGGGCTTTCGTTCAAGGGCAAACTGATCATTTCAGCCACAAATCTAGCTTCAAAAACGGATCATATCTTGTGTGTGTGCTTGCATCTTGTCGTGCTCGGATGGCGTTGCCTAACTCCTACGCCTTGACTCATAGCTACTATGCCTTCACTGCGCTCTCTCAGGGTCTGGCATACTCGTGTACCGTACCAGGAAATGCGGAGGCCTTGCCAGGCGAGGGTCGGTTGGACTTCGAGGAATTCGAGCCTGTGGGAAGAAGAGGCCCAGATCTGGGCGGCACTCGCTGTGCTGCAGCTGCTGCAAGTACCAGGACCTGGCGGAGCGCCAGGGCTCCAACGCCGCACGCGGCGCACGCAGGTCACGCGAGTCGCGCCGCGCCGACTCGCGAAGCGCATGGAAGCGGCCTGAACGCCTCAAAGCCCTGCTCTTTGTGCAGCAGCTCGTAGGCCGTTTCCTCGACGTCTGACTCTGACACTTGCAACTTTTACGTGGGGCTCCTCCGACTCAAACGAGGTCACGGAGCATGTGCCTGGGCCAGGATTGGTCGCATTTGGTGGCGGCTAGGCTGGGGTGCCGGGCTCGCACGTAGACCCTCGAGCCTCACAGCTCGAACCGAGTACATCCTCAAATGAGCTCGAGCAACCCCACCGACTAGCATCTGTGCAGCTGGAGCGGGCGGAGCCTGGAGATGTCGAGCTGACATCTCATCTGCAAAAATCTCATCTTTGCCCCGGCCTACAGGCGATCCCAGCCGGCCCTAGCAGAACGGACGCTGTCGGACATGTTGACTCTGGCCACGGGCAAGCATATGCCATGCTTGGCCTCTAAAATGGGAAGCAGCCGCCCAGGTATCGCTCTCATGTGACAAACACTTCGGTCTGACTCGAATGAACATCTCTGCTGCATGAATCAATCTGTCGGAGCTGAAAGGACTTTGCTGTGCTAACAATGCCAGTATTCAGGCTAATTGTCCGAGTGTTGCTGGAATGCTCAATGATCATTCTTACGTGACTCAGCTGCACAATCCGCGACATGCCAAACGGATAACATGTCACGGGCAGAACACCCAAACACTTCTCAAAAAGCAATCTCGAGTGGCTCTCCTTGCGAACAAAGGTATCAGGCCTTGCATGGCGTGCATCGCATTTTTTAGACTCGAAGATGGGAAGCGTGCCCATCGCCATCGGCTTTTTTCCAGTGAAACCTGGGGCTAGGCTCCGGCACTTCGGGTTCACTTAGGCGACTCCCGAGATCCTCACGGAGAAGGTCACCAGACCCGTGTTGAGAAACCGCTGAAGCACCGCTGCACCTCTCGTGCCTTGCCTGTGCCTGCGTCATCCGTAGCACCATAGCCTTGGACCTAAGGCGAGCGTCGCAGGCTGCGCCCAAGCCTTCAGAAACCCAGCCATCCCTCGCATCCCTCCCCGTCCCCGCCTCGCGCCCATGCGGCCCGCGGCTGGAGCCCAGGTCTGGCTCCAAGGAGCGCGCCTCGTCGCTGCCGGACCCGGACAAGGAGTCCTCGGACTGGCCCGTGGAGCCTGAGTCCGAGTCCGAGTCGGGTGTCGCAACACGGGAACGACTCACGCACCTGTGCCCCCGCAGTGATATGGCCTCGAGAGAATGCAAGGCATACTCCGGGCGCAATCGCACAAGCACAAGCACAAGCACATTAACGCGCACACACACAGTTTACATCAGCATAGACCCCAGATAGCAAAAAACATGCCAACACCTCTAACAGCGCCGCGCGAAGAGCGCCCCAAACAGCACCCGTCAATCCTGAAAAAACGCGCCCGCGCCCACCAGCACCCCAAACTCCCTGGCACTAGCCCATCACTCTCGCAAATCACGTTCCTCTCTTTATTAGAAGTTAAGCAAGCAAGCAAGCAAGCAAGCAAGCAAGCAAGCAAGCAAGCAAGCAAGCAAGCAAGCAAGCAAGCAAGCAAGCAAGCAAGCAAGCAAGCAAGGGCGAGGCAAGAAGGGCGAGGCAAGCAAGCGTGAGCCCGCCCGCCCTCAATGGTGAAACACTTGTGTTTGTAGCAACATTCCTGTGTTCCACCAGCATGGTAGCCGAAGCAGGAGCATTCTATGTTGACTCAGCACGTTGCCTGAACGCAAACGTCCGCTGCAGCGCAACTAGACCATCTTCACATCCAAACAATTAGCCAGAGCCTGGCAGATGCCAAAGCCTTGAATCCTTGTATAAAGATGACAAAGCCCAAACCTTCAAAAGTCAGATTCCCAGCCCGCAGCTTCGGCCCAGCCTTTCGCTCCGGCGCTTTGGCGCCACGGGCGTTTCGCGATGCGCGTGGCGGCCTGGCGAGCACCGGACGTCGAAGTCCGCGTCGACCCGAGCGCAACGTGGCCGGCTGCACGGATACCTCGGCCTGCCTCCATGTCCTGCGCATTTGCAGAAAGGAACTGCACCAAGGCAAGAGGAATCAGGCCATCTTCAATCTTCTGCCGCAAAGTGCACATTGGCAAATTTGGCTTGAACCAAGTTGGACCTGTCCCTGGTGTTGGTCAGAACCCTCTGCCTCACGCACATTAAGCCTTCATCTCGAAGGGTCCTTGGTGAGTCGCGAGTCCTCACTGGCGAAAGACAAGCCGCGGCCCTTGGGCGGCGCCACTGGCAGTAGCCTTGCAAGACAAAAGACACGTCATGAGACGCGCACATAATGTCACAATGTCACAATGCGCTCAAGTCGAGCCAGCGATGCCACAGCAGAGGCTGGTCGCCCAAGACGGCCACGAGGTTCCCCACGAAGCCGCGGTCGTAGGCGGAGGAGTCAAAGCCACTGCTCCCCTGGGACCTGGGAACTGCCATCTTTCGATTCCGTTCAAGTCGTTGAAAAGAGGGGCTAGCCATGGGCTAGCCATGGGCTAGCCGACCTGGAGCTGTTCCCATGGCACATGGCCCCCCTCGAGGGCTCTGCTTCTCGCAGAACTCGATGGTGGTCATGCCCTGGAAAGCGACACAAACGACTCCAACGCCCGCGAGTCAAGTTTCGAGCAGACGTCTCTCAACTCAAAGGACACAAACCAGCCACGTGTCGTCCATCCCCAGCCTTCTGCATCAGAAAAATGTGGAAGAAGAGGAACAAAGTCACCAGCACCTGAGCCAGTTGTCAATGTGACAACCCTGAAGCCCTTGCTTCACTGACTTCTTTGCCGTTTGTGTGAGCAGTGTGCGATGAACTGGTACAGTCATTTCTCGCCGCTCACCATCAGATGAGGGAATCCTGGCTAAGCACATGACACCTAGAAAGCCTGCGAGGGTCTCACCAAACATGAGGAGGAACCTGGAGCAAGCAGGAAAACAGAAGGTGGTGCCCCAAGAGTGAAGCAAACGCTGGGTTCGCAACATCGTCATGAAAGGCGTGGTAGGCGTAGTGCCTGCCCTGCCGACTCGCTTGGAGCAACCACAGACGACCACAGATCAACCTTCACTCCTTCCAGGCCGTGCCTAACAGAAGGCAGCATGGTGAAAACGATCATGCCACAGTCGATGCTCGTGTACAAAAGCAGCAAGAAGAAGTACTTGTAGTTCCTGCACGCAGTCTTGGCAAACCAAAAACACGCGAGTGTGGTTCTAGTCCCCCACGGTCTCCACAGACATCAAGTAACGAGCAGCATCTGAATTTGTAGCCAAACATTCGGCCTGAAGCCCACACAGTTGTAGATCCACGGGCAATGATGATCCATCTTTAAGATGCACATGCGGCAGACCTTGGCAAGTTAAGAGCAGACCGAAACAACCTGCTGCCAACTTAAAACATTGCATTCGTGATTAATCCTGCACTGCAAGTCGATGAAGCATGGCCAACACTCAAGAGCGTGGCTCGGCAATGGTGACACCTGTCTGGCTTGTACCTGTTGCCATGTACGCACCCCTGCTTGCGAGTGCAACCCTGCCATATACGCTGCACGATGAGAGTTGTCTCACATTCCTTTGCCACCCAACACTACGTCGGACATGGAAAACCCCAGTCGGCAGAGTCGATCTCAAGAGGCACTTCAAGCACCACTTGCAGTGCCGCCGCTCGCCGGTGCGCTTGGACTCCTCAAAGGCTGAGGAGTCCGACTGGCAGTCCCAACTGAAAAAGAAAGCTTTGCCCAGTCCTGCATGCTCAACACCGTGTCGGTGGCTAGAGGCTGAGGTCCCTCAGACAGATTTCTGTAGGGTTCGTCCACTCCGTCCATCGCTAAAGCTTGGCGATGCAAACTGACTCGAGGAAAAGAGGGCCTCCGTTTCGTCGTACTCCCAGGAAGGATCCTGGCAGGCAAACTGACAGCAAACCATCCAATCGGGCAATGCTGACAGCGCTCCTCGTTCTTGTCCGGGATGGTGCCCGGATGAACAAAGACCTGACAGCTGACAAGCAAGACTGGGCCCGTGAGCACCTCTGCAAATTTGGCTTGTTTCCCAAGCATTCTTCTGACAGGTCCGTTCCGGCCGGAGGAATATCAGGCAGGTCATTCACAAACTCACAGGTGTTGCAAGACAAGCGCCCAGCACAAAGGAAGTAGCACACCAAAAGCATGGCGGTCACCTTAGCGACTGACGAATGATGCGCGAGAGTTTGCAAAATCTCGCGAGTCACAAATTGTTTACCGACACTTTGCTGAAATCTCCGGAATCTTCTTTAATCGTTACCCTCCAGGTGTCTGCATCTGAGACAGATTTGGCCGCTCATGCAGCGGTGTGACGGCGCACAAGAGTCGTTCCTATCACACGGCAACACCTCACACGGCTCAGGACCAGAAGGATGCAAAAGGAAACAAACCCTAGAACCTCCGGCTTTTGCTGGGGGGCGGGGGGGCGACGGTGTTGCTTGGACTAAAACCTGTCCAATTCCTGGCTGAATTTTGACCAAATCCATTTCCTCCCGTTTCCAATCGGTGCGGACTCGGAGAGACTCGGAGCCCTGCTGCGTGGAAGATCAGCAGCTCCAGCCAGGCCAACCCCCGGGAGTGGGACTCCTAACGGAGAGGCGGTGCTGCCCGAGGCCTTTCCCGCTTCGGGTGGGGTGCCTGCCGCCTGCCCAAACAAAAAGCGCAAAAGCGCCGGATTCTTTGGAGTTTGGAGACAAAGGAAGGGAAGAGTGGCTCTTCCACGATGCAGCAGTCCTGCATCATGGGAAGGAGGTGGCAGGTGACATAGATCCACCAAAGGCCTCAGATTTACCAAGCAAAGTCGTCTCCTGCCCATTTGCTCACTCAAAGTGACTACAAAAGTCTTTGTTCTATTCAAAAACAATGCTCCTGGTGACTCAAGAGAACAATCCGGCTTGGTCTCTTCTCCGGGGGTCGCACCCGCAATTAGGGCCAGGATAAAGGCGACGGGCAAGAATTTGATTGGCTCCGGGAAACGCTCCTGGCATGTGCAACGCCTCAACTCACGAGCCACTTGTTTTTTCTTCCACAATGTTGGGTCGCGAGGCCTCCCAGCTTGGGGTAGGGAATTCATCCGCTATCATTACCTCAAATCTCTCTGACAAATACCACGGCGCGAAGGAGCCGAGGCGAGTGCTTTGCTCTAAATTCTCAACCTGAGAGACTCGGACTCTCGGACTCTCGGACTCTCGGACTCTCGGACTCTCGGACTCTCGGACTCTCGCAAGGTGGTTTCGAGCTCCCAGCCAGGACGCGCAGGGTTGCACGCTGCCCGATTCGCGCTTCGCCTTTGGGCACAACCCAGCCGCCCCCGACCCCCCCCCCAGCATGTTGCTGCACAACAAGAGGCCGCGACTATTGGATCGACATGGAAGGCACGCAGAACGTGGCCTCTGAGCCAAAGTCCAGTCGCGGTCCAGTTAGGCGCCGCCCTTTCTGGGCTCCGCAAGCCAAACAGCAATGCAGTTTCATGCCAACCTCAACCTTGAGTCAGCTCTCAAGAAACCTGACATCTCAAGTCTCACTCGCACGAGGTTGCCTTCGCGAGCATCGTGGCCTTGCCGGTCCTGCGAGAGCCGAGCCTCCGCGTTCCTGTCTCGGCGACTCGTCTACATGTCTCAACCCTTCTTGGCACCTGTTCCAGCCGGGCATCCCGTATCGCATCAGACCCGTCCCACCCGTTTGGGTTGGGGGGGTTAAAAAATGGCGGAGCCCGGCCGCTGGCAACTCTGATAGTTCAACACGCATTCGGAAATCGAATCATACTGCACAGTCTGAGCCCGACAGGGAAACTTGACAGCGGCTCTATGGCGAACAGCCCTTTGGGTGAACTTGCTGCCACTGCACAGCAGATGCAAGCTAAGCTGGAACGTGCAAAAGGGCCTATACGTACATCCCACAAGCCGCTTCAGCCACCATCTGCTTCTGCCTGCAACCAAAACAACGAGTGAATGTCTGCAAATTCAACCTGAAGAAAGGGTGCACTTCCAAAGTCCAACAACCGCACACACAACCACACAACGTGCGCGCGCGTGCGCATCGCCGGGCTGGCAGTGGGGCTGAAAGTCATTCCCTCTGTGGCTTCCAAGCGATATCAATGGAAAGTAATTGCGAAGGCGATCGAACACGAGCCGTCCGCTGTGCAGTCCCCAGGGTAATGGATCAGCTGGTCCAGCCTCTGGGCTGTAGCGGCGCTTTTTCAGCCAATATCTCCTGGCCAATGCCAAAAGCGGAAAGCGGACATTGACGAATCGGCCGTTTTTTCAGGCGCGCCCCAAGGAAGTAAGAGGCCACCCCAGCACCTGGCCAAGCCACGAAACGAAGCGATGCACCTGGAGCCGCATGCAAGGGCGGGGGAAGCCCGCCTTCAGCGCGCGGTGTACCTCCAGCTCATCGTCCTGCACGGCAACCGCAACAACCCGTAAGGAAAAAGGCGCGCGGTCGCGCGGTCGCGCGGTCGCGCCTGCGGTGTGCGCAGCTCAGGGCAGCTGCAGGCAGGCCCACCATAGCGGCGGTTCCAGCCTGCGCCCATTCGGTCTTCACTGCGCTCGACTGACACTTTGAGTGTGGACTGCGCTGGACCTTGGCTGAAGAAGGTGCTTTACCAAAGAAGGGCTCCGTTCCGACATGCACATGTCGCAAGAAAAGGTACCCGGCTATGAATGAAAGAGAAGCAGGCTGAATGATGTCGGCACATAACTTTAAGTCAGCAATGGCTGTGCCAAACTTCCAAAAAACGAGTCAGCACTCTTCGCAATGTCGGGTGTCACACCCACCTGACATGGCGCCCACGTATGCAAGCAAGGCTTGTCGCCACACCTCGAGCGGGGGAAATTGACAGGGGCAACAGTAATGCAAGGCAACGACACATCCGACGACTTGGGCCCCACAGTCACGACGTCACGACTCTAAACGTTCACGCTGAGACAACCGGCTCGGGAGGAGCCCAGGCCGGCCAGGATGACGATGGGAAGCCTGGCAAGGAAAGTCGGACGGCAGTGTCAACCTTCGAGTGATAACCATGGCGAAGCGGCTGACACAGAGTTGTCAGCAGCATGATGACGGCCAGCGCCGGAAATACGCGGCCGACCTGCGAAGTCGTGAAGGCCAACTTCTAACTCCGTCCCAAGCGCAGGCAAGAGCTTCTCTTCAGTCCGCTCGCAGACTTCCGGTGAAAGTCGCCAATCTGCGCAGTCGAAGCTATGCTTCTTGAGTGTCAGGAGACAGGGTCCCACCCAGCTTAAACGCTGGGCCATACCAGCCAACCGAAAGCATTAAAAGTCAGTCGAAAACTGGGACCAACGCGCATTTGGCGTTCTAGCATGTCTCTCACTCCAACTGTACAGCCACCTTCCGGATGAGCTGGGGCGGACAGCCACAGCAGCCGCCCACATAGCTACATCCAAGCCGGATCATCGCCAGGGTATCGTCCACAAAATCCTCCTCCAGGCGCTGATGCGTGCCCAGGAACTTCCGGGACTCACGGCGGTCGTACTTCGAGAGGCGCTTCTTCGGGCTGCGGCTGCGGTCGCTCTCTCCGTCTGCGTCCAAGAATTCCTGGCCCGAGTCCTCGCAGAGGTTGGCATAGGCCCCCAGCTTCACACCGTGGTCCTCCTGCAAATTCTGCAGATCCTTCTCAAGCGCCTGCAACACGGCGAGGATCTCCCGAGGGCGCGCGCAATTCCTCAGGCCGAACCCTGGGCAGTCTGACCACTCAAAGGTGAACGGTCAAACGATGCCGAACGATGCCGAACGATGCCGAACGATGCCGAACGGCGCGCGGAACGGCGGTTCGGAACGGCGCGGAAAGGCGCAACACAAGTGCTGGCCGCGGCGCAGCAGGAAGACCTCGAGCTTGAGGTCTGCGTCCCCGGCCAAGTCCCTCAGCTGCTCCACGATGCGCATCTCCCGCGCCGCCTGAGCCTGTGCCCTCATTGTTTCGGGGCACCGCAGGCTGCCCTGCAGGGCGAGCCTCGGCGAAAGCCCGAGAGCCCCCGGAAAGCAACAAATGTCATGGTGTTGGCTTTGGTTCAACAGGGTCAACTCGCAAAGTGGTGTTGCCGACTTGTTGACACCCAAAACAAACCGAGTTGAAAGCACAAGCAGGCAAGGAAGGGGTCGGGCCAAAAAAGGAGCCCTCACACGTATGCTGACCAGAAGTACTGCCCCGCCGAGCTGCCAGAAAGGCACTTCACGCCTCCCACAAGACTGCGCTGCAGCCTTTGCGCCATCAAAGGCGCTGCGCGCTTCCTGTTCGGGAAAGGAGAGCATGCGCAACTGCTGGAATCATCTGAACTGTGAGATCTGTGAGCAAAGCCAACAGCCCCTCCTGCATGGTATTCATGGTCTCTGCCAACAGCCCGTCGACCCCTCCCTGCAGCAGCTGTGCAGCCAAGCGTTGGTACCAGGAGCTCAGCCAGCTTTCACCCAGGCCCTCGGGCTGTCCAACTGCAATGTGCCCCAAATGCGTCCAAGGAACCCCGTTGCCTCAAGGCTTTGGGGGAGCAATCGAGCAAGCTCCCGAATCTCCCCAAGGTCTTGAGGGATCCCTGACAATTCCCGCTTGGAAAGCTAGATGTTGCCGAGACTCCACCACCAAGTCAGGGCGGTGGCTCTCGATGAGCGGTGGAAGACAACCCAAGATGGTCACCTCCGGGGATCGTGAGACTTGATGGTGAAGCTTTGGGAATGCTTATGTTGATTCTTGCTCTAAAAAGGAGCTGCCGGCAGCAAGATATATCGACCAAGGCTTCAGGTTTGGTTGATGTCACAGCGGCGCAGGGACGTGACGCGGTTGCCGTCACTAGTTGTCAGTTGGATGTAAGTGCCAGTATCATGTGCAAGGACAAAAGTGCACGTTTCAGGTGATGTCGCTTGAGCATAAGTCTGATTTTACACTGCGGAGTCATCCCAAAACACAAAGCAGACTTGAAAACCAACGTGTTGAGCTGGCGCCTCTTCACGTGGTACGCCATCCTCCGCGCAAAACTGCCGCACGGCTTCTTGGCAGAGACGCACCGCGTGGGCCGTGTGCTCCAATAGCTTCTCCTCCCATCCGCTCTCGAAGGCTGCCTGGTAGTAGGTGGGCCTCATGTGAACCAGACCGTCAGGGCCGATCCAAACAGTGGCAGCGAAACGTGGTGCATTGCACGAGGTCACGAGGGGCCAAAGCCAAGTTTGATCCCTTCCCATTTTGCTAAGCAGGGGCACTGGCAAGCATAGTTGTTGGTCGTCAGCACCCGACTGCCTGCTCTCAGGAAATCCAGATGCAGCTGCACTACTTCGGGGTGGTACCTGGGCCGACTGTCCCAGCCCAACCTCTCTCACTCGGATCGATTCGGCTAAATTGCAGGTGCTCAGATACCAAAGGTGTCCACAAGATCGATTCCAGGTTTCTGCCCATTTGCCCTCCAGCGGCTCTCGATTCCCCCGCTTGTGTCTCCTCTCTCTGATCGTTCCCCGTTGCGTCCCGTGTCACGTCCGTCCCCGCTTCGTTTCAGCGGGCGGCTGCTCGCGGGCCACCGAGGTGGCGCTCCAGAGCCCGGCCTCCTGCGGCACGCCGCGGTTCAGCAGCTCCCGGCCCATCCCGCCGTCCAGCAGCACCACTCGGCCCACTCGGCCCACTCGGCTCATTGATCGTCTAGAGCAGAGGAGCGTCACGCGAAACGTGAGGGTGTCGGGGGTAAAGGCACTGAGCAAAATGCACTGCGGGCAAAACAAAGAAACCCTAAAATCAGGAAGCCACAAGTTGCTGGGAAAATCAAGACTGCCCAAAGGACCTCTGCCAAAGCATCAGGAGCTGCAATCCACAGGATGAGCCTGAGCTGTGGATCTTTGATCTTTGAAGCCAGTTGCTGCATTGCTGAGTTGCCTGGGGCACCCAGCCATGAAGCGATCAGGGACACTGCAGAGCCCAGCCCGATCTCTGCAGAATGGCCTGAACTGCACTTCCCGGACTCGATTGCAAAGGCCAAGTCATGCCACTCTCGCTCAAGTCCCGAACAGTGTCATTTGAGTCGCCTTTTAACTACTCGATGTGGCTCCATGTTCTTACTTTGAACCAGACGCTGGCAAGTGGCACAGGCACACTGGGCGTGCGGGCGCAGCGCTGTCGTGCTGCGGTTCCGCCGTTCCGATCGCAGCGATGAGGGCCGGAAGAGGCTGGCGCGGAGGGTCAGCGACGCTCAAAATATGCCTACACACTCAGCCAACATGCTTAGTCCCCAGTTTTGTGGAGATTTGGTGAGCCCGAACTTCAGACTGGCGACGTACGCGCTTTCGCCTGCATCTGACCCGTGACCCCAGCCTGAGCATCTCCTTCTTCTCTGCAGCCACCTGCCCCAAGAACCACGAGAATTAAATAACCGCAAAAACAAGCCGCGTGACGCAGACGGTGCCCACGGTGCCCACGGTGCCTGGGCGTAGCGTCTCTCCTTCTCCTGCTGCTGTGCTTCCTTCACCCTCAGCCGAACGGCGCTCGGGTCGCAGGGCGCGACCTGTCGCAGGGCCGCAGGGCCGGTCCAACACGGCCGAACTCACAACGCTAAGCTTCGGGGCGCATCCTCTGAGCAGAAGAGGCTGTTGAAATGCCGCCTGAGGCGAGCAATTCAAAGCTCCTTTTCCCAACAGCCAAGAGCCCCCGACTGGCTTCTGCGGATGGACTCCTGTCGAATGCTCGTGTCCACCATCATGAAACTAAAGCATGTGTCCTTTATTCTGAGCTATCTTCAAAGGAAGTTTGCCAAGAAACTTCTGCAGCACTGGAACCGATTCAGGCTAGTTCTTTATCTTTCTCTATCTCTCTCTGTCTCTCTAAGAAATACAAGGTTCCATGTTTGCAGTCGGATACAAATGCTAGTAACATAGAACCTCCTTCAAGTATGAGGAACGGCCAACATGGCATTGCCATTGCGCAGATCTGGGTGCACCCTAACGCTCTGGAACAAGTGAGCTTGCCAAGGGATCCAAAGGTGAGCAAGGATGAGACGCCATATTGCTCGTGGGGAGCCAAGCAAAAGGGAGTCTTCCTAGAACAAGGAATCGCTGGAATCGGGAAAGTTCCATCCCTGAAAACAAATTCATTGGAAAGGCGAGAAGCTCCTGCGGGTGCGGCTGCATGGAGTCCGTAGGTTCCTGCAATCCCAGGCGAGCTCTTCATGGGCAACCCCCGCCCCCCGCGGCCAGTTTGCAGGAAATAAGGAGAGGCTGTAGCAAGGGCAACGGGCAAAGGTGATGGAGCATAACCTGGAGCATGGCCACATGTAGCCCAGACCTGGGTGTCAGCCTCAAAGCTGGCACTGCGCTCGTCCTTCACCCGCTTGGAGGGGCCTGAGGAAAGACGGGTCGCGTGACTGATCCGCTCTGCTTTCTTTGCAGTGTTTGCCTCTGGGTGCCCGGCCATTGCGAGCGCTGTAGAAGAAGAGAAACCGCAAGAGGGGAGCCGCCTCAGAGACTCTCGAACAGAACCTGCGGGCACTGAGTTGCTCGCTAACGGAAGCACGGACTCACACTTAGGCACCGACGGAGGCAGCAGCGAAGATCAACATACACACCAGCTGAAGCACAGCAGACTGGGCGGCCAGGTGCACACCTCTTATCCCTTGTCCGCCTTTCTCCACTGCTATCTAAATCCATTTAAGAGAAACTTGCTTTCTTCTGAATTCTCCGGTTCCATCTGCGGTCATCTGTTCACCCGCCTGCGGTCCCAAAGCCCTGCACACGAGAAGGAGGAGGATGCCGAACCTCCGGCCATCTACTCATCGGCTCATCAACTCATACTCCCACATTGAGAGCTCGACCCAGCGGCGCTGGCAGCAGCCAATGCCAGGCACAAGCTGCAAGTGCATACGCACCTCGGCAAAGTGAGCCTAGCGTCCTGTCGTAGCGAGCGCACTGGACCAAGGGCCCTCACGTCCAGAGAGCCAGCAGCAGCACAAAAACCAAAGCAACATCCCTGGACGCAGCCTGGCAATATGCCGACATGTGCGCCGACATCGGCCACAGCAACCGCCTCAAGCAGCTGCAACTCTTCCACCTGCGGCGGTTGGGCGCGCTTCGGCCAGGCGAGGGGACTCCGGCCTCCTCTGAAGGCTCGAAGGCCAGCCAGGCCTGTGGCCACCGCTGTGTCCTGAAAGCGGCTCAAGATGCTCACGACTTGCAGACGTGCACACGTGCAGGAGCTGAGGAACTTGTAGCTTTCGGCCTGAGCCTCATGTAGCTCTCCCAGCCTCAAATTGCAAGCTCGGACAGTTGACTCGGTACAGATCAAAATGCATGCAATGTCTAGGTTGTGTCCGCCGCACTGTGGCTCTAGAGGATTTTGCCGGATTTTGCGGTCCGGTACGTTCAGCTGAATTCTGTGAAACACATCCACTCTCAGTTCAAAGCTCTTCGCCCTATGCACAGGCTGTATTGTGGTCGACTCAGTATAAGTAGACACCATAGGCAGTCGCAACACAAAACAGGCTCTCGTTGCTGTATGTCTCTGAAGCATAGCTGTCGGTGTCCCCGTCCCAGAAACATCGCGTTCCCATTCGCACGCCCTGGCCCTTCTGCTCGCCAATGGACACCTGAACCACAACCTTGTAGCGCGGCAGATTCAGCTCCTTGAGCCGATCCTTAATGTCATCCGCAACCTGCTTCGTCAGCAGCTGCGTCGTCTCCATGCTGTAGGTTGCCTTGTCCAGCTTGCTCTGCAGCACATCTCGGATGATTTCCCGCGTTGGGCCGGGGCGAAACTTGTTCTTGTACTCAGGATGGATGACGTAGCTGTTCTCATCACCCTTTTTCTTGTCCATTGCAGGGCAAGCAACGCGCCGCGCCCTGTTTTGAGCCTTGGGCCTGGCAGAGCTTGCCGTCAAAGCGGAAAGATCGACCGTGAGTGCCATGTCACAAATCAAGGTGCCCGTAGTGCCGGTTAGGGTCGCCAGGCGCCCGCGCGCTGCCGCAGCTCCTCCCTCTCGGCGCGGGTGGTGGGCCGGGGCACCCGGAAATGGCTGGCCGTGGCGGCGATGCCACCGCCTCGGCGAGCGAAGCGCGCGCAAAACGCTGGCACCGCTGGCACCGCTGGCACCGCTGGCACCGCTGGCACGGCACCGCACTCCGTGAGCGCCGCACCCAGGCCAGAAAGCCACAGGTTCTGCCAACAGCTTTTCACTGCGAAGTCTTTCCCGGCCCAATCACCCCATCACCCCATCACCCGATCCCAGTCCTTCTCGCCCTCCTCGGCTGCGAAGCCCTCCAATAGCTCCGTGAAGTTTGCCCGCCTCAAGCCCAACAGGGGGGGGAAGCTCGAGCTTCTGGTGGGAACCCTGGTCATTGGTCGAGATCAAGTCGCTTGTCGCTTCCTGTCGCTTCCTGTCGCTTCCTGTCTCTGGGCCGCCCTGCACCGGGAAGCGCTCCCCGCGGGAGTCCAGCCAGGTCCTCGCGAAGGGGAGGCTGGCAACCGAGCGAACTCCGGAAACCGAAATCCAAAAGTGGGGGGAGTGGCGGAGTGGAGAGCATTCCGAGGGGCTGGAAGTCCAATGCGAAGCACCGCCGCGAAATGATCCTGGGCCATCCGAACTCCGAAAGACGCCCGCCGAACAGAACCGCAGCCAAGGCGCGGCAAGTCCGGCGGGGTGCCGATGCAGCTGGCCAGCTGCTGGCGCTGGGCCTGGCACCGGAGCTGAGTGAGCTGAGACGCTGAGACGCTGAGAGTGTGACTCGCCCGGTGCCCCCCCCACCCTCCGTTCCTTTCAGTTGTGCTTTGTTCCAGATCAATTTTGTTTCACTCAGCTGGGCGGAAAGCTTCGCGGTCGAACTTGCGCTCGCAGGTTCCGTCGCTTGGCCCGCGAGCACGGAACACGTCGCCCGCGTCGCGGCCGCTTTGGCGATCAGCGTTTGGATGCGCTGCGTCGCTCAGAACAGCAGCTCCTGCTTGAAGACCCCCGCGTGCGCCTCCAAGAACTCCTGAAAGCTCGGCTTGGACTCTGAGCGGTCCTCAAGCTTCGAATCACACTCAAACGAGCGGGTAACCAAGAAAAGGAGAAAAGGAGAAAAGGAGAAAAGGAGAAAAGGAGAAAAGGAGAACAGGAGAAAAGGAGAAAAGGAGAAAAGGAGAAAAGGAGAAAAGGAGAAAAGGAGAAAAGGAGAAAAGGAGAAAAGGAGAAAAGGAGAAAAGGAGAAAAGGAGAAAAGGTCAGAGACGGTCAGAGACGGTGAGAGGCAAAGGCTCAGCCAAATGCTGGAAGATGCCCAGGGCAAACTTGCGCAGCTCTTCAGCGGCCTCATAGCTCGTCTCCAGCCCAAGCTCACCGAGGCAGTACATCTCCGCTAGATGCATGCCTCGCATCCCGCACAAAGAAGTCATTCAAGCTGTTGCTAGAATCTCTGAAGAATACACAGAACCCGGAATCCAGGAGAGAAAGCTAGAGATAAAATCCACGGCACTCGTCCGTCCACCAAAACCACCACATCCACAGGACACTAAAAAACCACATCCAGAAAAACCAGGGCACACGCCAAGGGGTGGCCCTTCCGCCCTGTGGCGCGTAGCCACTCCACGGCTCCCGGGTCCTTTTCCTGACGCAGCTGCAGGGCGAAGTCCAGCATGGCCTCGTGAAGCTCCAAAAAGGAAAAGAAAAGGAAAGGGATAGGGATGAAAAGGGATGAAAAGGGATGAAAAGATGAAAAGATGAAAAGGGATGAAAAGGGGCCAAAGCTGAAAGCGAAGTCCGAAAGGCTCTCGAGACAAACGAACGTTTCGATCGCCTGCGGGTCGTCCTTCTTCTTGGCTTCCACCTCCATGGCCACCCGCTCACTCAGAGCCGGGGCCGGATCCGGACAGCCGCGCAGGGCGTCGCACACGCGGACACGGCCAGTGAGCTCCTCCCGGATGGTGTAGGTGGAGCCATGGTTGGTGTTACCTGACTGAACGAGTCGGACAAAGGTTGCAGAGCACTTTGTCAGAAAGGGAAAGAGAAGCCGAAGCTGCGGGGCTTCTGAAAGGTCATGTAGAAGAGCCTCCGCCGGCCTGAGCTGCCGGCCTTGTTCTCCCCGCCACAGTGCAGCAGCCGCGAGTTCATGAGCACCGCCGAGCCAGCAGAGCACTGCGCGGCCACCCCGCCCCCAAACTGCTCTGGTGTGCGCTCCTCGCCAAGAGCCCTCGGCGCAAGCCCGCAAGCCCGCAAGCCCGCAAGCCCGCAAGCCCGCAAGCCCGCCCGCCTGGTGCGGCCGGCCCCCGCTCTTTTTTCAGGCTCGGTTCCCGTGACTCCATGTCCCTCCATGTCCCTCCATGTCCCTCCCTGTCCTTGCCGGGCATCACGGTGAGCCACTGCTGCAGGTAGGGGTCGTCGTGGGTGCCGGGGAAGAGCACCGTGGGGCCCATGTCCAGGTCGATGTGCTGCAGCGCCACGAAGATCGTCAGCAGCGGCGCGCACGCGGTCTTCCACCCCCCCGTGTCCACGTGCACGTTCTGCATCGGGGCCCCACAGTCCGTGATCAAGCACGACAGCTCTACCTCAAAGCGGACTGACAGTCAGGGAGTGCAGTGACACCTGCAAGCCGCAAGCCGGGGCGCCAGCAGTCCCTCAGAGGTCACGGTACCATCCAGCACGCCTCGAATGCTCTGTAGCACCTCCTGCATCGCCTCCGTCACCTGAGGAAAGGCGAGAACCCCGTCTTTGTGAAGGTACTCTTCTTGGGAATTCCGGATAAAAAGCCCAAGGATCTATACGTCTGAGCGGTGACCCTCCAAAAGACATGGCTTTGCCCCATCATGTTTTTGGAGTGGCAATTCCCCTCCCTTCGCGCCCAGAAAGCCAAACCAGACATTCCCACCACAACATGACCCGAGCCTCAGGCCGCAGTGGCAGCTTCAGGTCCCAGCGATGCTGCCGGTCCCGCACCGTGCCGAAGAACTGCCGCTCCAGGTCCCGCGCCTCACCAACATCTTCGAACCCACACATGGAGTACCATCGGAAGCAAAACGCGAAAAAATGGGGAAAAATAAGATTGAAAAACAACAAAGGAACAAGAGAAAAAAGGACCCCAAGTCCGGCCTGGTCCTCGTCCTGCTCCAGCCGCTCCAGCTCCTGGAGAAGCCGCTGCAGCTCGGCGTCCACGAAGCCGCGCAGCGCCGCGCAGCGCTCGGGCGCCAGCGCCCCGCGCACCAGGCCGCAGCCGTGGAGCTCCAGGTGCCCCACGCAGCTCCGCGGCGCCGCCGCGATGTCCTCTGGGCTCATGGGGTCCAACGGCTCCCACGGAAACTCGAACTCATACGACTCCGCGTCCGCGTCCGCGTCATGCTCGTCATCCGCGTCATGCTCGTCATGCTCGTCATGCTCGTCATGCTCTTCATGCTCGAGCTCCACGTGCTTCCCTCGCGGCAGCGCCAAGAAGTCCATGGCTCCATTGCCGGAAAGCTCAGATCGCTCAAAGCCCTACTGTCCGATGTGACGTGTCAGTCTCTATCTTCCATCCGCAAACCAGCAAAATGAGCCGCAAATCTTCACCGCAGAATGTGGCCCAAGCTGACTGACGCCCGAAAGCATCGGCTTTCCGCATGCCTCTGGGTCTGCCAAGTCCATAGGCTCCAGGGCGAGCTCGCCCGTGTCGTCAGGGCGATTCTGGAGTCAAACGCGCATGCAAGTCCCAGCCGAATCAACTGGCCCATGCGTCATGTGTGCTGGGAAAATGTCTTGCAGAGACAAAAGTTGACTTGAGTCTGGTCTGGCCTTTTGCTTCAGGCCCCAGATGATGTAGATATCCTGAGTCGTCTGTGACCGCGCCAAGCCCTTCCAGAGGCTCCGCACAGGCGCACCGTGGCATTGCTCGCAGGCTCCGGGGCAAGTGTGGTGGTACCCACTGGAAGCTCCCCTGGCCGGCCATTTTGTTATTGTTTTTTTACAGCTTTCGCCAAGAGAATGCTTTCGCGGGCCTAGGCTCGCCCAATTGCTCGGGCGGAGGCACCGGTTCCGGCCGCAGTAACCTCAAGTCCGGCTGAAAACTTTGAGACGCCGGCTAGGCTCGGCTAGACGGCCAGACTCGGCTATGGCGGCTCGGCTCGGCTGGGGAACCGGGACGCGGGCACTGTGCCTCGAAGCAGGTGTGGTTCTCCACCGCGCTGAACGCCGAGCTGGACGACTGCGTCTGCAGCACGTTCTGCCCGCTGCTCCACTCCTCCACCTCCAGCCTGAAGGACCGAAGTCGGCGAAGGACCGAAGGACCGAAGGACCGAAGGACCGAAGTCGGCGATTGCGAAACTGGCGTCGGAAGCCGAGGCACGGTGGCTCCTTCGCCTTCCGCTCCCTGCTGATATTCAGGTCCACCCTGCACACAACAGTTGAGTTCGCATGAGGATGGCTTCGGGAATGCCGTGGCATGATCGAGAGCTATTCGTGCTTCACCTGAAACTTGCTTTCTGATGGAGTGGACAACTTACAGATCACGATGGCACGACATCTTGGTCAAGCATGTTGCACGGCACTTCAGCCTCTCTTGCGCCCAGGCCCAAAAGTTCTCTGGAGGCTGCTGCAGGCCCGCAAAGCGGGCCTTCGCCTTGGGAAAAGCCAACTGAAATGCCCAACAAAAACCGGCAACGTCGACGTTAATAATTAGCGAGGGCTGAGGGAAACCATGGCGGGCCAGCATGATTTTGAGAAAACAGTTCCAGAGAAAGAACAGCTATGAGCGCTTTGGAGGGGGCTTGGCACGCCTGTCAAGGGATGTGGATGAACACAAAAAGTTCGCGCCAGTTGTGCCAACTCAAGACGAGGGGCCTCGCAATAGATCTCGGATGCCGTAGGCGCCATTCGGTAGTCACAGTCACAGGAGCTCCCAGCCAACTCGACCTCAAACTTCGGCGGAGAAAAATGGCCCATGCCAGTCAAGGTCATGGATTGCTCTCCATCCCAGCCGCGCTCTGAGCGAGATGCATCTCGATCCGCCTTGCAAGAAAACCATGAGCACTCCACGCTGGGCACCTCCATTGGCCAGAGGCAAAGCTGAGGGAATGTTACGCTCAAACATCTTTGGGCTTTGGCCGAGTAGCTGCATCGATGAAGCAGGAGGTTGCATTTTGCAAGCTGCTCCCTGCGATCACGAAGGGACTTGGAAGACCACTGAAGACTGCCTGACGTCACGTTAAGTGCAACACGCACGCTTCCTCTAATGGCTCTGTCCATCTCATGCAGAGAAAAGCAGAAAGCTCTCATTTTTGGCAATGCCACACTACCAGATTTCAAAGAATTCGCGGCAGCCGTTCACAACTTGACGAGGAACCGACTCGTCAGTCATGTGCGTTCAGACTGCATGTGTGCTACAGGCATGCCAACTAGATGCAGTTGAGAACCTTCTGAACAAATCCTCAAGCGGTGAGTGCAATTTGTGTTGTGTTGTTCGTTCAGTTGTTCCTAAGTTGGCGCAACCTAGCTTTTGAGAGAAAACTGTTATCATCGGGCGCATCCATTCAAATTGTCTAAAAGCGAGAATTGAATAAATGAAGTGCGGTACAGATATTAGCGAATCACAAAAAAATGTGCCAGCGTGCGTTCCCTGCAAGGAGCATACAGCACAACCGTGCGGGTCTGGACTTGCACAAAGAAAGAGTCGACATTTTGAATCATGAAATAGAGCGGGATCAAGTATGAAGGAGAAAAACAAAGTGATTGCGCGTGTATGTTGAAAGGGAAAAGACAAATACGTAAAGTCTGCTAGGTATCTGCCATTAAGCGTTGACAGAAAGTTGAATGGACATATCAGTATGGCACAGGCGGAAAAACATGCTTGACTTCCCCTGATTTACTGCATAACTTCTGAAAACCCTTAGGCCCTTACCTTTGTAAAGAGGGATGATACTGTATGAAACTGATCCTCAAAAACTCAACTTCATAGCCATATGGCCCATATGGGCACCAATTGAGACGAATCCGAAGCTTGGTCTATTGTTGAGGACCCGACAGCCTGACGCCAGCTTGCAGTCTGCGTTAGGCCAAACGGCCTCATGGGCTCGGCCAAGAAGTGCTTCCGGGAGCTAGCCATCACAGCCTTCCACAGCTACGTGGCCATCCAATTCGGTCCAATTCGGTGGGTACACGTGCCCTGCCAAATTCATCTGTTCAGCCGAATGCATGTGCTCGATGCCATATTCTGACCGAGTGCCTGTGCCATCCGTTGCAATTTTTCACTGGACAGTTCCCAGGCTTGCATTCAGTGTCTGAATCTGGCGGGTGCACCAACCTCTGAACTTCGAATTCCACCCCGCCGAAAGCAAAAATGCCAAGGATCATGCCTGATGGGCTATTAGAAGTGAGCCGGGCAGGGCGGAGTGCTCCAGCTATTTCTATCGCCAGAAGCGTTAATTTGAGACTCTTGCCTCAGGCAGAAAGGTAGCAGCACGGGGAAGCTGGTCTGCCTATGCCAGCCTTCCCCACAGTTGCACAACGCCAAACACTCACATTCGCATCGACCGGACGCTTGTTAGACCCCTACTCTCCACCCAGCCCGAGGCTGGAAACGATCAGAGAGTGAATTCTAGAGCGGATCTGCTCAAGTCCTCCGCTCTGCTCAAGTCTGTCCTGGGCCAAGTCGGCCTTCCGGACCGCATGCCGGCGTGGCTAGAATCACCCAAACCCAGTGGATGGTCTCAGAGAGGACTCAAATCAAAGCCGCAAAAAGAGCCGGCAAAAGCGACCCAAGTTTTCCACAAGTGAGCCCTGCCTGTCCCAGCCAGACCGCTCGGGCAAGCCAAACTGCTTCAGCAGACGGGATAATGTCGCAACCTGAGGCCCACGAACTGGGCAACAGCTGGGACGCTCAAAACGAATCGCGTGCGCATGCGGAAGGCTCCATGCAAACCCCACCAAAGGCTCCAATTGGTCCAATTGGTCCCTGAGGACATTTCTCATGAGTCTTGTGCTGCGGGCGAAGGATTTCTCTGTAGGGAGTGGAGCGTGTTCCTTGGGGTCAGTCTGACCGCATTGGGGCCAAAGAAACAAAGCCACTGCCAAAACAAATCCTTTGAAAGAGATGGGATCAATGACTTCCTGCTCCGGTGCAGGAAGCCCAACCCGTGCCATGCAGCTGCTATTGCTGCTATTCATGGTTGCTTCCAGTCGAACTCAGGCACACTGCTCTTGGGCCCAAAGCGAGGGTTGCAAAAAGCCCAACGAAGCTGCTTGAAGTGGAACCACAAAACTTCCGAGCGAACGCAATGCGTAAAAGATCCGACATCGCACCTGTTTCAGAGATTGCCCATCAATTCTTGGATGGCTCTTGTGAACAAACTGTTGTGGTGCCGCAACTCGCCACAAACTCCACTCGCGCCTTTGGTGCAAAACGCCAAACACGCACCTCCACTTCAGCTCCGGAAACTTGACCCTTCGAGCGAAAGTCCCCGCCCGCAGTCTGCCTTGCTGTGGTCGCCTTGTACTTCAAATGGGCTGTAGACCTGCGGAGAGGAGTTCGGAGCAGGGGAGCGCCAGAGCACGGGCGACCCAGCCTCGTGCTCTTCAGTGTTCCAGAGCGGCTCGCACTTCAAACCCTCCTGTGACGGCAACGGTCTCTCAAGTCGGGGATCAGCGATCAGCACACGCTCGGTCCTTGTGGAAGCCTGGAATTTGTTGGTTCTCAATTGCTCGTACGAAGCGCGTCGCCTGAGGCGTGTGGCTCGCCGAAGGCTTAACCCAACTTGGCTATGCTCAATCCACCCACTCCAACTCCAAGCAGACAACGAGAAAGAGAAAGAGGAAGCCGAAGAGAAGGAGAAGGACAAAGCGAAAAGAAAGAGAAAGTCAAAGACAAAGAGAAAGAGAAAGAGAAAGAGAAAGAGGAAGAGAAAGAGAAAGAGAAAGGGACGGAGACGGAGACGGAGAAGGAGAAGGAGACGGAGACGGAGAAGGAGAGGAAGGAGAAGGAGAAGGAGGAGAAGGAGAAGGAGAAGGAGAAGGAGGAGAAGGAGAAGGAGAAGGAAAAGGAGAAGGAGAAGGAAAAGGAGAGGGTGCGGGAGAAGGAGAAGGAATAGGAAAATGAGAACGAGAAATACAAAGAGAAAGGTAGAAAGGGAAAGACAAGGAGAAGGAGAAAGAGAAAGAGCAAGGGAAAGGGAAAGAGAAAGAAAGACAGAGGGAAGATAAAGAGAAAAAGAAAGAGAAAGGAAGGGACGGAGAAGGAGAAAGAGAAGGAGAAGGAGAAGGAGAAGGAGAAGAAGAATGAAAATGAGAGAAAGCAAAGAACGGTGACGGAGACGGAGACAGAGTAAAAAAGAGAGAAAAATAGAAATAGAAATAGAAACAGAATCAGAAGGAAGGGAAAAAGAAGCGTGTCCAAACTACGGCTCTTATATTTTTGAAGCTTCCCTGGCTCGGCCAAACCTGTCTGATAGCACAAGCGAGCAACGCACACTTCCGCAGCTGCAGCTTGAAAATTGCAACGGGTGAATCAGTTTGGGGGAGTCCTTCGCCTTCTACGGGGTTCCGTGCAGTCCGATGCTAACCTTTCGCCGTACGATAAAGCGGTCGTAGGTTTGGTCCGTGCTCCATAGATTCCATAGATGTGTGATACAAGACATTTCGGCTGGCAAGCAAACACCATGGCCGCCATGGCCTCGATTCAAGCTGCGCAAACTTGGGAACATGCCAAGTCACATCCTCTGGACTCGTCAAGAACACGTGAGCGTAGCCCCGGCACTTGCCATTGGCATGCTGTGGTAGCCAAAGCTTGATATCCGCATCGCCCACTTGCGCGTCAAAAAACTTCAGCAAGATCTGGCAGGGGCTGATGAACACCAAACTGCAACTGCTTCCCTGCAATTACCTTGTGCTCAAAGATCGATGCTGGCATTTGCAGTGGCCAGAACGCTTTTGATCAGACCCCGCGCCTCCCTAGAGCACTTTGCGGGAATGTTTCTCAAAAAAACTTTCTTCACTCCATCCCATTCTCCTCTCTGAAAGCCTGAGCTTGCCGAGCGGACATTCAGTGCTGGGGCCCTAGCTGTATTGCGAAGTGCAAACAAATTTGCCGACTATGCATTTCTTGCCAGTCGCAAGCTCTCAGAGCTGCCATGGTTTCCACGATTGCCAACTTCGCAGCAAGATCCCAGTGGAAAATATGCGGTCGCGTACACAAAGAGTGACGGCCCTTCTCAGCGCAGCGCCAGCACGGCTTGCAGACTTCAAGTTGGAAGCCATCAAACTGCCATCAGGCTGCGGTCCAAGCCGCTCATGTTCAGCCATAACGGCTACAAGCGGTTTGAAGCTGCAACATGCAACCACAACACCGAAGTGACGGAGATGCTGCCAAAAAACACGCAAAGACTGCACCCTCCCCGTTTGACCCTCCCCGTCTGACGACTCTGGCGGGTAGGAACTTTGTGCGCGCTTGTTTAGGTGCTCTTGTGTTTTGGTGCGCTCTTGCGCTTAGAGAAACACATCGGCTCGACATGCCTTCGCTTCCCGAGACTCCTGGAAAATGTGGCCTTCACCTAAAGGAAGCCGAGGAAGCCGATTGCCGCATGCCGCACAGCGTAAGGTCTGCACCAAAGAGCGCTGGCGTGGCGGCTGGGAATGGCTCCTGGAAACGTGGCCCAGGGAACCCATCGGAGCCCGAGGCATCTCAGAGCGGAGCTATCCTGATTTTGGCTGAGGAGCACCACCGCCACAAGCGTGGCCAACAGGAGCAGCGGGCAGGCAGCGCAGTTGTCGTAGCCTGACTTCAGTTCAACAGCGCCGAACTCACTCGTGTCAAGACTCCATGTTTACCTTCACGGACACCCTGTAGAGTAACGGTTCGGTCATAAGAAATATGCGAATGCTTTGAGCACAAGCGACTGGGATCCTACAGCTTTTCACGTTTGGCTCACGACGCCACGCCGCTACGCCCTCGTCTCCGGATCCAAAGCCGTCCGCCCGAGTTCGGAGTTCGGAGTGCCCGAGACGATTTCAAACTGGGGCCAGGCACTCACCACGGCCAGCAGCCAGGCGCGGCGCCGCTGCCTCCGCTGCTCCTTGCTCAGGGGCCGCCCACTGAGCTCCTCAAAAGAGAAGAATGAAAGGCTTACCTGTCAAAGAGAAAAAGGATGAAAAAGGCCAAGAAGGGCTCACGGAGAAAAAGCCTCACCGCACAAATTACCCTTGAAAAACCTGACTTCGAGAGACCTAGGAGTCCTGCGGCGCGCACCAGTTGGACTCCTCCCTGCCCTCGGCCATCCAGTCCCCCAGCAGCACCGCCTCGGATCTCTCCGGTCGGGAATCTGTGGGAAACCTGACGGACGTACTGGGCGTACTTACTCGCTTTCTGACTTTCTGACTTTCTGACTTTCTGACCGGCGAACGCCCGTTGGCTTCGGCTTTTGCTCCCTCCCCTTCGTCCCCTTCGTCCCCTTCGTCCCCTCCGTCCCCTTCGTCCCCTTCGTCCCCTTCGTCCCCTTCCCCGGTTCTGTGCCGCGGCGCAGGGACGAAGAGCCAAGGTCCGAGGCACAGCACGGTCAAACTGCCCAGCAGCGCCGCGGAGGTGAGCTCCTGGGAGCCAAAGAGCACATCCCCCCAAAGAACACTTTTAAGACTCGAGAGCAAATGCACAAAAAATCTGCTGACGGCAAGACACGTGGCTCGGACGCAAGTCAAATCTGATTTCCGGCTCCTGCGCCATGGGCAGCTTGGCCACCATCATGTCCAAAGCCTTGAGCGGAATGGAAAATAGGCACAAGCCCTCGCATCGATGAAAACGTGGCTATCTCAGCTGAACAAGCCACGCAAAGTACACTTTGGCCTCGAAAGGCGTAACCTACGAAGCTTCGGCCGCCCTGGCTTGAAAGTCGCTGTCTTTCAGCACAAATTTAGTACGCAACAACTAAATTTGTACTTGGCTGGTTCGGCAGTTTGGGTGCTGACTTGGGCGCTCTTGCAACAACAACGCACAACCTGCTGTCTTTATGGCTTCTACGAGTATCTGTTCTTCTATAGTGCTCCAGGGCGACAAAGAAAGGCCCATCGGGGTTTCCCTGTTGGCCCTGAACTGTAAAGTCGACAAAGTAATCCAGCAACGATCCGGGGTGCAGGTCCATCCGGATCGCAAACCCGCAATCCAAATCTAAAGTCGACTCTCTCTTTCTCTCTCTCTCCTTCTCCTCTTCTCCTCTTCTCCTTCTCCTTCCCGTCTCTCTCGTGTACACGTCGTGGTACACGTCGTGTCCCGGTCTTCGTTCGGGGCACCAGCAGCAGCAGCGTGGTGGCCAGCGGCGGCACGAAGAGCTGCAGCGGCATCTGCAGCCAGTGGCCCAGCCACAGCAGCCCCGCGCGGCGCTGAGCACAACACGCGCTCGGAAAAAGAAGAAAAAAGAATAAAAAGAAAAAAAAGCGGCACCCGCGACTTGTCGACCTCACCCCAAAAGAACGGAAGCCTCAACTCCAATCGAATTCCGCAGGGGTCAAACAGCCCTCTCCTGAATCTGGGACTCACCGGACTCACCGGGGGCGGGTATGTTGAAACCAGAACATGACGCGAAACGTGGCAGGGCAGCGCCGCAGGAAGCCACAAAGCATGACGGCGCACACGTGGTGTGACAGTTGAGCATGCAAAACTGAATAGCACATCGACAAGTGTTGTGTGCATGTGTCCTAAAACAAAAGCTTCAACCCTGCTAGTGAATCCGAGAAAGTCGATAAGACTAATGGCCTTCTTTTTGGACTCAATCAGCGCACAAACCATATCAAGAATCCCCTCCACAATCCATGAGCCAAGAATTCACATGCCCGCCTCCTCAGATGTGCGGGAGATGAGATGCTTCAGCTCTTGTAGCCTTTGGTTTGAGCTTCACATCTCACATTCACGTCGCACAGAGCTTTGGATCTACCCGGAACAGAGCAAACAAGGCAGGGTCATCAGAACTCCTGCGCTGCAAACATCACGTGCATTGGATAACACTAGGTAGTGTTGCTTTTCCGCCCGTCTTGTGCTTTCTGAAGCTTGTGTACTCGGGAGCCCGTTTCCAGGCAGATCAATTCAAAGTCACTTCCTCTGAAGTCCCTTTCCTGCATGCGCGTCATCTCTGCACAATGAAGGCCAAGCAGCTTCGGCAAAACTCGGTTGGCATTGTACGAAAGGATGGAGCTGCAAGCGATCGCCAGCTCCTCAGAACGGCGATCGCTTCGTGGATCCGAATGCCTAGCCCGGCCCCTCTTCTCCGTTCGGGCCCCGGCTCGAGTTGCAATGCCAAGGCTCTGCCGCGTTTACGGCCAGCAGCTGCCAGGCCACGACAGTGCCCGGCGTAATCTGGACGTGAACTTTGGCGGCTCACGTATTCAACCGCAAAAACAAATCGCATACGTGGACATTGGCAAATAAGTGTGCCCGCCATGTCTCGCCAAATTGACCATGTACGACTAGATTTAATTTCTTGGGGTCTTAGTTGACCAAACCTCAAAAGAGCCACTGTCAAGCTTTACCGTTTCAAGGTTCACTACTAGACAAGGGAAATCTGGTGCAGGCTTCTGCCCAAAATTACTGGACATGTTGACCAAACCCGACATGAACAAGGTGAAATTCGGCCAACACGCTCGGCCGGCATTGTGCCGGGATTGATCAGATGGATAGGTGCAGAGGGTCAGACCAACTTATCCGTTGTGGCGGATGAATTTCGCCAACCTGGTGTCTGCTAAACAACACCTCGCCAATCCTAAAACATCCCCAAAACCAGCCCGTGACCCAAATCCGATCAGGAACTCACGCTAAGCAAACCGTAAACCGCCCCGAGCAAATCTCACTGCCAAGGACAACTCGGGAGCCTGCAATGCTGGTATGTGGTCATGTTTCAGTCTAGACTAACAACAACAAAAACAAAGCAATGTTAAAACAACAACACAACAAAACAACCAGGCTCCGGCTCAAGCATTCCAGCCATCCTACAATCCAAGCAAAGCAACGGAAACACCCCCAACCACCCAAACCCTTGCGATGCCAATTCCGTGCTCGGGGCAAGGCCCTGCCCCCTGACGCAACTGCCTGGGACGCCGCCACAAGGACCGAAGCCGTGGAAAGCAGCGCGGCTGCCACAGCCAACAGCACTCGCCGGGTGAAGAGCCTCAAATGCAAAGTGTCCGCAAAGGTCGCTTGCTGCGCTTGTGCTTGTCTTGGCCGCTTAGGCTGGTCTTGACCAAATGGTCACCCTGTGCTCATCTGTGCTCTCTTGCAGCCACCGTTGCAGAACTGTCACCAGAACGTTGACGGCTGCCAGCACCAAAAGCGGCAAGTGTTGAAAGGACCGGTCCAGGTCGTCATAGGCCCTGGATGTAGACTACAGCCAAGAGCCAAGTCTTGACAGTCAAGTGAGCTCCAGTGAGGTCCTGCCTGCCGTCAATCTTGTAAAAGGCGCGGAGCCCGCCCTCTTCTCCCAACGACTCGTCCTGACACGAGTCGAATGCCGAGATGACTTCTCCAGTCCCCAGCCTGCATCTTGCGCAGCCTGGGCCGCAGGGTTTCCTCCACGAAGCTGTGGAAGCGCGGCACGTCCTCTCACGCGCTCTGATCCGCTCCGGTCTTCCGCTCCGACTAAATCCAAAGTGAGCGCTCCGCTGGGGGCAGGTAGAAGAGGAAGGTGGACCGCAACAGCTGACGCCTGGAGTTCCCCCAAAACCCCCCCATTTTGGAACTTGCGGCCCTCGCTGGGGGCTGCACGACTCGGGCCCCGCCGCTTCCCTCCGCGTGGCTGGATCTGGAGATGCGATCACTCGCACGGCGCGCCGCACGGCGGCGAGTGCAGCCAATGGCTCGGCTCCCGCCTCTGGGAAGCCACCTCTCCAGCAGCTGTGGGCGTACCCTGAGCATTCACTCACATTCGCTGGGTTCGCTTGGCACCCTTGGTATGCACATATGGATGCATGTGTGGATGCATGTACGTATGTATTTATGTATGGTATGGTATGGTATGGTATGGTATGGTATGGTATGGTATGGTATGGTATGGTACAGTACATAGCCTAACGCAAGGCAATGTAATGTAAGGTAATATAACGCAACGTAATGTATGTATGTATGTGTGTGTACTGCAATGTAATGCAATACAATGAAATGAAATGCACATGCAATGTGATGCAATGCAATGTAATGCCATGCAATGCGATGTAATGTAGCTTAACGTAAGGCAATGTAGTAGGATATGATGTACTGCAATGTAATGGAACGTTGTGTAGTGCAACGCAACGTAATGGAAGATGATGTACTGCAATACCATGCTAATCAAATGCATCGCAACGTAACGCACCGTAACACAATGCAATGCAATGGTAGTTACGTGCGTACGTGCCTATACAATGCAATGCAATGCCTATACCATGCAATTGCATTGCATTGTAATGCAATGCAATGCGATGCGATGCGATGCGATGCAATGCAATATAATGTAGTACTTGTTGTTTTAATTATGTAAGGTATGCAATGTATATGCTGTATGCCATGTACTGCACTGCACTGTATTGTAATGCAATGTAAAGGCATGGCATGCAATGCAATGTAATGCAACGCACCGCAGTGTAATGTAATGTAAAGTATGAATGTCTGTACAAATCAGTTCCAAAAATATGTAGGCTCACGAAAACACCTCAGCACGGATTCTTACTAGCGGCTCTTGCGCAAAGGCCAGAAGCGTCTCGACGGGCAGCTGCGCACCAATGCCCTCAGCATTGAAGGACACCTGCGCCGTGAGCGCAGATATTTTTCTCCATCTCTTGCGAGGCTTCGAGGATCGGCCTCCCACTCCAATCCCATAACCTGATTGGCCGGTGATGGCTCCTGGCGTCTTGCGGATTCTTGCGGCTGGCGGCTATGAGCTTGTTTGAGCCACAGTTGCTTCAATGGCCTAAATCGGCGCCGGCACTGTTTGAAGGTTCACCGAAGGACACGTGGACCATGTCGCGACATGTCGACATGTTTCTGCGCATGCCGAGTTCCGCAGCTCCGCTCCTGCCAGGAGCCGAAGCTCAGCGCCACCAAGCTGTCCCCCGCGGTGCACAGGAACCGCACCTCCGGGAGCGAATTGGCTCCCGAATAAGCATCGCCAAAAACGAGGCGAGTCTCCGGACCCGAAACCACCCGAAATCATTCCCCACCGCCCCAGTGGCCCAGCCTCCGCCGGGCAAGCGTTGCATAGCGACACCCAGCCAGGCAGCTCTCGCAAAGCAACCTGTGCGAATACACATGACCAAAGGACCTACACGGCAACTGAATCACTTCCCAATCAAGCCTCTGCCAAGCGGACCTCCGACATGTAGGTGTCACTCACCACACTCGGTTGGAAGTCCTGGCGTCCAGCGACTCGAGCAACACGCCGAGTCGCACCGAGTCGCACCGAGTCGCACCTTCTCCCTCTCGCTCTGGGAAGGTCCCATCTGCCAAATCAGCTCCAGCGAGTGCCACTCGAAGCTCTCGAAGCTCCCTGCATGTCCTGGGCACAGCGACAGTTGCTCATGGCACGTGCGTGGCACATGCGTGGCACGTGCCTGCGTAGGGACCGCCACTTTGTAGGTCCTCACAAACTGATCAAGCCACGCGCCTTTGCGCCTTTTAGCCATGCCAGATTGAGGCAAAAGCCTTTCCATACATCACCGAAATCCAGCCACCTCTTGTCAACTCTCAGGCCGCAGCTATTGCTTCAAGGTGGACCGACTGGAAGTAGGCGTCTGCAACAGCTCCCGGCAGGTCCACCTATGAATGTTGCCCCAAGTCAAGTACTAAAACAACTGCCTGCCTGCTTCAAGCTGCCAAACGCCCCAAGCGCCACCTTGCATGGCACGGAGCTTCCATCTGCCCCCCCTCATGTGCACAGAACGACTCAGAATGACTCAGAATAGCACCTGGTGCGGCATCTGTACCCCAAACGCCACCAAAACCCCTGCCACCGCGACGGCCAAAACGTAGATGTAGCAGCCTGGCACACGTGGCGGCCTTGCACCAGTGCCCGCGCGCAATCGCCAACGGGAAGGGCGCACACTGGACGGTGACGCTGGTCTCCCACCTGAGATGATAAGAAATAAACTGCCCAAAGACAAAATCAGGTTGTGCTTTCGGCCTCACTATGCATTGGCCCCCATGTTCCATATCACAAATGTGGAAGTGGCAGGTCAAAAGACACCTCGAAGCACCCAACAAGCAGCCCAGGTGCACACAGCGACCACAACGAAGGCGTCCAGATGGCCTGAGCGCAGAGGTTCGGGACAGCCAAGAGCTGAAAGGTGCAACAGCATCGCCGAGGATCACTGTCGTCATTTCCTCGTCTTCGTCGTCAAAAATGAAGCTTGTTGAGCTCATTTCCTTGGGGCTTCGCAACCCGTCCAGTGCCGTGCAACACATCGAAGCTCAGAGGCTCAGAGGCTTTGTGCATTCAAAGTCACAGACAGCCTGGACGGAGACCTGGAGAGAAAGGACTGCGGGCTCTTCACCTGACAACTTCAGGCCCCGATAAAAAGAAAATGTCAGTGTCGCGCCTTGTCGGACTTCACCTTGCGGGCCCTCTTAAAGGCCTCACTGCTTGCTGCTTGACATCGCCTTGCTTACTGCCCGTTGGCCGGGCCTCGCTCGCGCCTTCAGCGCTGAGCTCAGGCTTGTCCTAGGCCAAAGCCCCAAGTCTCGCCGTGTGAAAAAAGGAAAAAGAAAGGCGGAAACCAATGCATTGAAGGCCAGGGCACTTTGATTTGGAGGTGGAATCGGTCTTCGAGCGATCCACCTCCGAATCTTCCACGATGATTTCCAATGCCTGGGGCTGTTTCATTGAGGAGCCTTTTGCACGGCAGCCAATTGTCGGCCAAGCTTCCGGAGGTCGGTCCTGCGCAAATGCTGAAATCAGAACCAGAACCAAACAGATTCTCCGGCCCCGGGCTTCCTGAACTTCCTGGACTTCCTGGACTTCCTGAACCTCCTGTGATACCTGGTCTGGCTCCTCCGGTGGCTCCGCTTCGACCTGTTCTGCCGAGAGGAAGCCGGACATTCAGCCCATGGCTCCCGCCTCTGGGGGAGGCGGCAATTGCCCGTGCTCAGACTCGTGGCAATCTGCGCGAAACTCGCCCCGAGCCGTAGGCATTCCATGGGGCATGAGAATTGAAACTCAAGCGCACACCGGCATGCGGCATGCATCTCCCAAAGTCCGAAGAATCTAGCAGGAGAGGCGACGCAAGGCATTTCGACAGCGTCGGGATCGCAGGCAGTTCTAACGACTTTCAATGGCGTGGCTTGACGTTTAAGCCGACACAAACCTCTGGGATCAGGAGAAAGCAAGATGGGAAAAACGAATGCAAATGCAAGATGCATGTTGCGCCTTTGGAGTCCGAAGAGCTGTCCTGGCATGCAAATGGAACCCGTCTGCCCGGAGTCGCCAGTCCGTCCTCTAGGAGAGCTTGCAAGCTGGAGGGCAGCCCCTGGCACTTCCGTTGCGACAAAGCGTTTCACTCGTGGCCGAGCGCCTCGACGGGAGGATCCTCCTCTTCATCTGGCCTGCAAAAGGATTTCAGCCACGCGTCCATGAATTTGCAAGTAACTCGGTTGTGATCGTCTTGCTGCAAACCGCAGTCAGCTCTTTGCAGCCTCTCTGGCAAGTAGTTGAGAAAGTCATCGCTGTCACGCGACTTCCGGCTAGTGACAACGTGCAGGGTCTCCTGGTGTGCCGTGCAAGTGCACATTGGCAAGTCCAAACCGAGCACATGACATCGCAAAGTGCCCACAAGCACCTCTGAGTCTTCAGAGCCATCAGGCAGCTCATCCTGCCACTCGACAGAGCACATTTGCGCAGCGCTTTGGCGACGACAACTGGGTGCGAATGAACTCCAGAGTAGGCGCGGAGTTGGGCTTGTGAATGAAGACTTCCCGGCAACAGTGAGATGAATCTCAAACGAAGCCCTGAAGCACACTAGTCACTTACTACATTGCTTCTGCATCCTCAACATGTCCCTGCCTCACCGTCTTGCCTCAGCTAGCAACGCACTGGAAATCAGAGCCAGCCGGTGCTTCAAAAGTAGGTGGCTTGTGCCTTTGCCAAAACAATTTTATAGTATCAAGCTGCGATGTTCGTGCCATTGTGACATTTAGAATGGATCAGCTTGACTCATGCTTCCTCCAAGCGATGTTGGCCGCAACATCCCCTTGGAAAGTTCATGCAAGTTGTTCCATGTGTGAAAAGGTGGACGGTCGTTGTGCACGCAAGGGGATGTAGCTCAGTGCAGTCGTATACCTCAAGCCTTCAGGACAACGCACGTATTCAAATTCCCCAGTGTTCCAATCCCCAATTTGGTGATCCGCGTGTGTTTAAGGCTCGAGGGAGGGGAGACTTCGTGCCGAGAACACGATGCAAGGTCAATCCAATCAGACCCCGTAAGCTGAACCTGATCTGAGGCTTGCGCCCGTCAGGCGGCGGCTTCGGCAAACGTGACCGGCGCCAAGGCAGTGCCCTAGACTCCTTGGACTTGGAAAACGTCCGAATTCACTCGACGGCAACGCGCCTGCGTGCTCTCGGCCATTGACCTGACAGTGCTCGTACATTCATTAGGCCTATCAGATTGGATATGCAGCACTGAAGCCAATCAATCTTATGTGTCCCCCCAAGGCGATACTGCATCTGCAACGTGCAGGCCAAGCCGCACATGGCCACGCGACAGGCTTCCAAACGGACTGCTCCGAATATGTGGCCAAGTGACTGCCTACATTGGGATCGTTACCGTGCTCGGGGACAGTGGAACTATCGGGGCCGCTCTGCTTTCCAGGCGCACGTCTGAAAAGGGCCGAAACGTGCCGGAAAGCCGCGTGCATCTCAAGCTGCAAATCCAGAAAGCGTCAAGAACGTCTCTTTGTTTTGGTACATGGTGGAGAGGACCAAGGCCGGGCACGGCCGCACTTGTCACTAGAGGTGACAACTACTTGGCACTGCTTGGCAGTGCTTGGCCCTACTCGGCTGCTTGGCTTGGCACTGCTTGGCGGTGCCGGCCTCCAGCCAGCCCAAGAAGCGGCAAAAACTGTTTCAACGCTCGCTGTGCAGGCATCACCCGGTTCACCTGCAGAGTTCCGGGTGCTTTCTTATTCTCTTTCGGAACGGGGTACCTACACGCGTAATCCTCGTGAAATGCAAAAAGGGGGCAAAACCAATTGTGGAGGACATATTTCTTCACGAGTCACTGCTCTTATCTACATGCCTTGACACTGGCTTGATGGGGTCCAGTTGAGACAAAGCCCGAGATTCAAACAAGCAGCAGCTTGGAGTCGTCAGCGTCCACTGGAGACATGCCCCGAATGAAGGGCTTGTACGGCATGCCGCTAAGCTCAGACAGCTGCTCTGTGATCTCATCCACCTTCGCCTAACTCCAGACGCTGTTCCAACGAGTCAAACCATCTTCGTAAGAAGCTTCAGGAACCAAGCAGCTGAACAAAGCATCGGACCTTTGCGTGGAGCTTGAATCCAGCACAAAAGGGCAGCTCCCGTGTCAAACCAGCAACCAGCCGAAAACTGTCCAATCCATGCTTCTTCCCAAAAAAAACGAGCCCAAAGCGCCCAAAGCGTCCGGCCCCGGCCTCCACGTAGGTCTGGAAGCGGCCCTGCGCCTTGATGAGCCAGCGCTGGTCGTGAAGCAGCTTCCCGACGTCCACGCCCCGCGCCTGGCCGCGCAGCCGCAGGCAGCCCTTGAAGAACCTCAGAAATCGGACGGCGAAATCTTACGGCGAAGAAAACTCCGGAAAAGTTCGCATGAATCGAAAAATGTCGCAAACAGACATGTGTTCTTGCTCTCTTGTTTTCTCTATGGACAAAATCTGGATATGGCGAAAAGTTCTCTTGAAGAGCAAATGCCACGAAGACATGCACAAACTCCTCATTTCTTCTCTACGCCAAGGGGCTCTTCAATCTCCACGGAGCCACCAGCATCCAAGTCCAAAAGCTTGAAGAAAGACCATGCATCCCAGACATCCAGGCCTTGCGCGAATGGCAAATCCCGCGCGTTGCCTTCCCAAGGGAGCCCCAAAAGGAAAGTCCTCTTGAGGATGGTTGGGGGTCGTTGATCTGCATGAGATCCAAGCAAACTGCGGATGCCTAGTGTTTCAAAGTACTCGATGACGGGCGGGCTGCGCAGCCCTTCTTCAAACATGGCATAGGTGATGATGCCCGTCTTGTCCGCACCGAGCTGGCTGAAGAGGGCCCGGATTTTCTCGACGTGGGCCTCCTGGCTTGGGCTTGCAGGCCAACTGGGAAACACGCTCACACGCTTCAAGGGGGCAACAATGGGGTCCATGGAACATCATGGAACCTTCGGCGCCCTGTCACGTCCTTGTTTGCCAGCATTGACTGGACCACGTTTGCATGATCGTTCTGCGCACTGTCAATGGCGGACTGGCAAAATACGCCTCGCAGGACGGAAGCACAAAAACCAAAGCACTGCCAACTCGCACACAGAGCCTGTTACCACGTTCAATACGGCGAAATACCTGAGTTGCACTTCCCCGAGCAAAGGTCCAACCTTTTCTGATGGGAAAGCCTTTTGCTTCCAGAAGGTCTAAAGCGCCAAGACACCAAAGACCAGCCAAGATACGTGAATGCCACATAAAAGAGAAAAACCATCACCCACATGCTCGATATGTATTCCAATGGAGCTAAAACCTCTTGCCAGCTCACGCCACCTGAGATACTCATAAACAGGCTTAGCATTGTGTGAAAGAGAGATCGATAGTACTTTTCCACAGCTGCTGCTTCCACGTCTGGCAAGGCAGGGTTGCTTGGGTCTTGGACATACCCACTCACCGCTTCCGCCAGGAGCACTGCGAAGACGTACACGATCAGAAGCAGAAGAGCCATAGCCCAAAACAGGGACCGCAAAGTGTAGACAATGGAGGTCACCAAAGTGCGCAAGGCCATGATGAAGCGAAAGACCCGCACCAAGCGGAGGGTTTTCAGGATCCGTGTCACGCGAATGATTCGGATGGATTTGAGGCTGCTTACGTTTGAGACTTGCTGGGAGCTACCGCTCATGGCTAAGCCAAGAGTGACCTCAAAAAGGGAGCTGGTGACGATGACTATGTCAAGCAGAATCCACCACCTGTCTTCTGAGCAGAGCACTGCCAAACCAAATGCAGCGAACCTCACCAGCAGCTCGACAGTGAAGAGCGCAGTGAAGCAAATCTGCGTCACTGTCATTGCCGTCGACTCTTGGGAATTCGCAATGCTTTCCTGAACCTGGAAAGCAACAAAGATTGAATTGGCCAGCACCACAAGAGCAAAGAAGGTGTCAAAAGCCGGATTCCGAACCCAACGCTGCAATCTGGTCTCCGGGACATCTTTCATTTCAGATACAGATGCATCGGCAAAAGCTTGTCTAGCCACTGAGCCATCCACCTCAGCCGCTCTCTGCCTCAAAGCCAAATCAGCTTGGGTAAAAGTTGTAAACAATTGCATACTTGGGGTGCACGACGGACGTCTTCCTGGCAGTTTTGCAACGGGCGACTGGGCACTATGCGCAGTGGGTGTTGGTACTTCTGCAGCTTGTTTCTCCAACTTTTCACAAATCCGAGGCGGGTGTGCAGGATGCCTTAGAAGCGCTTTCTCCAGGAGCTCGGCGTGGAAATCAAGCCTCCGCAGAATTTCGTCGCACTGCAAGATCACGAGCCCGACATCCTCGGCGCCACGCAGCATGTTTCCTGGCTTTGGAGAGGTTGAAGCATTCAGTTTGATGGGTTCCTCGTCCATGGCAAGCCCGATGTGAGGCCCGTCCATCCTTCAATCACCCGTTGTGTAGAGCCAATTTGAACAAGTGCAAGCCTTGAGCAAAATGCTAGCACAGACGGGACAAACATGAAATCTACAAAAAGCTGGTCGAAGCAGAACCAAGCTGGACATTGAAAAAAATCTCCGGGAGTTGCGATATGACGCGCGCACGCAAACTCGAGCTCACACAGTATTCGAATTGCAATTGGCACACGCTTGACGTTGGGTTGCTGCGTTGTACTCAAACTCAAGCCCGCACGCGTGTCTCCTACTTCCCCCGTGGTCATCGCCGTGGGCCTGCGCCCGCGGCAAACGGTTGATCTCCGTCTTCCATGAACCAGGAAGGTTCCCGGAGGCTTGAAATCAAATCGGTTGGCAAAAGGCGGCAGGCCACCCTTGGTCTCCAGCCGCTTTGCTTTCACGGCAACCAGCAAACTGCAACCGTGTGGCAAAACCGGGCCTGCTTTTGCTGTCGGCTTTCAAGCTGGCCGACCCCCTCCCCTGCCGCACGGTCATTACTCAGGCCGGCTGCTGGAAACCTAGCGGGTCCCAAGAAACCACAAAACTTCTGCGGCGTCTCGAAAGCTTAGAAAGTGCTCTGAAGAACTGCGCTCACAACAAGCAACAGCTTCGTGCATCCTTTGGGCCCTGGCACCTCTGCACACCGCAAGCCAGCTTGCTCTCATGCTCGGGCAACTTGCAGCAAGTAACTTGCATGTCAATTCCTCCAACCCTTGACGCAAGCCTGCAGGGATCAAAGGTTGGTCACCCAAGTCGTGCATCCAGCTCACGCACCCCCAACACCGTGACCTGCAAGTCCCTGCGTCCTGCGTCCAGATATTTCAAGTTACAACCCATATGGTTTTCAGCTGCCCGGGGAAAAGTGATCGTGGCACCTCCTCATCTGCACGGGCGGTCTCTGCGCAATTATACTCTGCAAGTTGTTTTGCCCAAAATCTCCGTTCAAGTTATCTTCTCATTTTTGTTGCGCAAATGTGTTTCCGCCAGCGCGCGATGCAAGTTTCTCTGCACAAGTTGACTGCGCAAGTTTATGTTTGCATGTTTTTGCGCAAGTTATCAACACAAGTCTTTGTCGGCGAGCTCTCGACGCACGGGTCTCTGCGTCTCTGCGCACTACCTTTCTGCAAGTCTCTCTGCGCGAGTTTTGCGCGCATCATTCTCAGCGCAGGGGGGTCATTCCCAATTCAAGTAACGCAAAAGTTGCAAAACATTCCAGGTTTTACACATCGACCACCCTGACGCCTGCGGAGAGTCGTGCGCGCAAATCAAAAAGAGGCAACTTCCTCGGGTTACATATTTTTGCATCGGAATCAACCTCAGGCGGTGGCCTTAGCTACTTTTTTATCACGAAAGCACGACCCTTTTCAGGGATTGGCGTGCTCGATGCGCGAATGCTGTGGGTCAGCCGCCTACAGCATTGGCATAGTCGCCGGTCAACAAATAGGAAAGCGAAACGAGCAGACAACGCAGAGGGAAGCAGCCGTCGAGCCCAAACGAGTTCCCTAATTGAGGCAGGTGCTGCTCCAATTCACCTGCACGCAAAAGATGACACAAATGACGAAAAGACCAGGTACTCTCCTCAACCAAAAATTGAGTTTTCCCACATGTCATAAGCGAGTCCAGCCCAAGTCAAGGAGGAGTCCGGACACAAGCACCAGTAGTGCATGTCCGAAACTGAAACAAGTAAAATGTATGGTTGGCGGCTTGGCTTTGCCGGGTCCCGTCTCAGGAGCCGGGTTGTTGTTTTTCCTTGGCTCGAGGAGCTTGGCCGTGACCCTCATATCAACGATGTGGGTTGTGTGCCGACAGTGCCTCTCTTGCTGCTTGGTAGAGACGTACTCGGATACGCGACACGGGTTGCTTGCTTTACATACATTTTCGAGCTTTTCACACGTTACCTTATGGTGGTTGTGCTATTCGCTGACCTTTGACGCGTCACCAATGTTGACCTTCCATCTGTGTTTTCGCAGTGGCCTCGCCTCTCCGTTTCCTTTCGGTGGTGACACGTGTGAACTTCGGGGATGTGGAACTTGAATCTCGGCGGCATCGATATACTCAGGTGGCTTAAAGGGTCTAGTATCAGGAGCCTGGTTGCCGCTCTTTGCTTGTATGAGGATCATATGTATTGAAGTTGGGTCGTTGTGTCGTTTTTCGGCTCTGCTGATTATTCATTTCAGCGACTGGAATCAAGCCGGACTGATGCTGCTGCGTGTCAAAATGTGTCATATGATGAGCTTTGATGCAAGCTTGCATGACAGGCTGCTGGCTCGAGTCTTGTTCACTTTGGCATCCTCAGTGGAGCATTTGTGTCGCCAGCTGCTTTGAGTTCTGCGACCAATCCCGCCATGCAGTGCCCTTTTTGCCACGCCGAACATGGTGACACCGAGCACATGTTGTGGCAATGACAAGCTTTACGGGCCAATCAAGGTACAGCTGACGTGACTGTTAGGCCCGCAAGGCCGCGCGATGCACTTCAGAGCAGACTTGCTTGGCCAGTGGGCCAGCGCGAGCGTATTGATTTGTCAAAAATGGCATGGGCAGTTCATGTCCGACGGCGTGTCTTGGACCAAAGGTACGGACATGTCATTTGACAGCACAGGCCGTGCGAGCCTGCAAATATCCAAAACGGCCACTCTGAAAAATGCGACATAACACGCACGGGCACCAGCTGGTGTATGCACTTGACCAGCGCAACTTTTGCACGAATACTATATGGTGTGTGCACTTGACCATCAAAAAAATTTCGCACAATGCACTTGACCTTTGCATTTGTGGCTTGACATGTGTTTGACACATGTCTTGGATAGGTATAGGCCATTATGTGTAAGGAACCCACTTTTGCCAGTACCCTTATGTTAAGGCCTGTTGCACTGCTCCCAGCTTGAACCCAAACAACCCTCCACATCAACGAACTCCGCAAACCCAAAAAGCGCGCACTTCTTTTTCACGGGTTGCTTGAAAGTAGCACTGCCTCCAGAGCACGCGGTGCACCTGGAGCAGGAGGAATCATTGTCCCCCCTGTGAAACAGAAAGGATGCCAGAGTGCCTGCTCAAGTAACAGACAGCGGTCTGCATGATAAAGGGGAGTGCCGCGGGTACAGCCTCAGAGATCGAGGGCAAGGGCAAGCGTGCCCAAGCCTCTGCTGAGGCACAGAGCGTCTGTGCCTCAGGATGGGAGGGTGGGCTTCAATCGAAACAAGCGGTTTGAGTTCAAGGCTAGGAGCAAAATGGCCACCGCGTACGAGATTCACAACAGGCCCTAAACACAAGGGAAAAGAAAACCCTAAGCGTTAAGGCCTGTCGCACTGCTCCTAGCTTGAACCCAAACAACCCCACTTCTCTTTCACGGGTTGCTTGAAAGTAGCTCCAGAGCACGTGTGCACCTGGAGCAGGAGGAATCATTGTCCCCCCCTTAAGTGTTTCCAAGCAACCAGGGAAAGAGCTGGGCGAGCTGAGCGGCAGACCGTACACCCCCCCTTCAAAGAGGAGTTGTTGGGTGAAATGCGCATTTCACAGGAAACTGTTTGGAAATGCATGCCACGCGCTCGCAAAACCGCATGTCTAGCGCGCTGGGTTTGGCGCTAACAGCAGATGATGCGGCAGCCAGCATGGCGCAGCCAGAGGGCACAGAGCGAGCGCTCGGCCGGCTGATGCAAGGCTTGCAGGGCTGAAGCGCACTCGGTCATCAGGGCGACTCATGAATCCTTGAAGGCGATCTCGGCTGGGTCGTCTGCCCAGTCGTTGAGACGCCCCGGCACATGAGTAGGCTGCAGGTGCACGTTGCGCGCGTGCGCCCACGCCGCCACGAGCTGCAGAAACAACTGCACAGGCCAAGCAGCGCTGAACAGCTTATTGATGCCTGCTTTGGTAGCGGTGTTGTCCGTGCCGGATGGCAGGCTGGAGTAGTGACCTCCTCCTATATGCGAGTGCGTAGCCTGCAGCAGGGCTAATTGCGCTAAAGTCTCAAAGCATGCAATGTATTGCTGAGCAGGCTTAACAAGGCAAGGCCACGCAGACCTGACTTCGCTCATCTCTGCAAACGAGACCACTTGGGTGGAAGTCAGTGCCCAACCTCCAACGCTGCGCTCTCCAAGCGCCCTTTACCTTCGAGCTTAGCTTTGAGCCAGAGCCAGGACAGCCATTCAGGTTGCACTTGCTCCGCGCAATTTCCAAGGTGACCCGGACACTGCCTTGTTGGATTTCCTCCAAGATGGCGTCCCAGGCGCTGTAAGTGCCTTGCCACAAAGCACGCAGCCGGAAAGGCCGCCAGACGCATCGGAACAGCCCGAACTCCGTGCGAAGGCAACTGGAAAACGTGTTGACTTGGCAGACGGTGCCACGCGTGGCTCCTTGCCTTTTCTAAACACCGCACTCAATTTCCCGACTGCAATTCTTAAAGGCTATTTCTTGCTTGGCTTCTGCAGCGTACCCAATTGGAGATTTCCTCGAGCACGAGCTCTGGCTTCTTCAGCCGCGGTGCCATCTGCCGGAACGCCTTGGCCTTCTCATGGCATCGACCTGGCCCTGGCTACCCAGCCACAAGACGCACAGCGGGGTTTGACTGGCGCCAGCCTTGATTTCAAAGCCGCCCATAAGCAAGTCCAAGTGCGCCATGAAAAGCACGACCTCCTGCTCTTCGCCTTTCAGGAGCAATCGCTATAGCTTTGGTGGCCGTTTTTCAGCCTTCTGGTGGCAACGCACTGGGGGCTCTTGGCTTGGAAACCACACACAGCCTTCCTTTTTGTGGACGACCTCTTGCGCGCACTCATGCGCGACAGTGCCCAGGAAATGTTCGCTTTGGTTGTGCTTTTCTGCTGCGCAATTGCAGCGCCAATGTCCTGGAAGAAAAGCGCAGTTCCAGGACTGCCTTGTGCGGTGTGGGTGGGAGATCAATTTCTCCCACGACTCAATCCAGCTTATGTCAAGCAAGCTGAGAAATTGGCAATCAAACAAACGAGTGCTCCGCAAGACACCTGCTTATTTGGGCAACCAGCATTGCGCTGCACCTCAGGTCTTGGCTTGCGCCATTGTACGCAGACCTCAACAGC